TTCTTTGTGACACACATGTTTGTTTTCTAGATATGAAAAAAAAAAAAAAGAGAAAAAATAAAATAGGAAGTAAGAAAAAAAACCTAGAAGAAAGATTTCCTTTTTTTTTACAACCTACCTGCTCGTTATTTCAAAAAAAAAAATACATTATTATAACATGCGACAACGTATAAAACCGTCTTTTTTTTCTTATTCTCTTCGTATCAAAAACTTTTCTTTTTATTTTTTATGAATATAGACCAATTTTCTTTGAATCAAACGATAATATTAGTAACGGTTATTATTAAAAGTAAAAATTATCTCTTCAAAAATGAATAAAGATACAGAAACATGAAAGAAAAGGATATATTAATAGACTTCAATTTACAATAGAGTAATACGTGTTATTAGTCTTTTTTTTTTATCCGAAAATAAAGAGACAAAAGAATGAATATAAAAAGAAAAAAGAAATATATCCGAGATGAATCTCTTTGTATTATTACGAACAAGTAACATTTTTTTTTTTTCGAAAAGAAATAAGAAAAAAAAAACCGTATATATTTAAATCATGAAAATAAAATGAAAGACTTGTCATATTAGTTTAAAATTGTCTTACTAATAATTATAATAATAATAAGTATGACAATCATATCCTATTCTAATTGAATGTATATAGTTTGTTACGTGATATCATTTATATTTCAATTAAAACTAAAAGCTTAGAAAAATGGTAAATTTACACAAAAGAAAACCGTATATATATTTGTAAAATACTTTTTTTTTTCAATTTATTGTATCGTTTATGACGAATATATAAGTTATTTGAAACTCTTAATATTATTGTACAAGAATAAAAATAAAATTTTATAAAAGATTTCAAAATAAAACGAGATCATACATGAGTCATGTAAATATATATAGTAAATATTTACATGGAATATTCTTGAATGTGCATGCAAAATGTGTATAAGTTACATATAAATGTTAAAGTGTTATTTGCGTATATCAATGAGATGACTAGGATGGTTGTTTTTTTTTCTTTTTGAATGCTAAATATTCATGAATAGACAAAAAAAAAAATTCCTATCTATGAAAAGTATTGTCAAAGCAATTTTGTTTTGTCAACATGTAAACTATTGATGTTTTGTGATGTACGTGCGATTGTATATGAGAATTTATTTATTTTTCATTCAAATAAAAAACGCTTCCTTATAAATAAATTTAATTTACTAGAAATACTTCAGGCTGTCAGATTCTTCAAAATTATTAGCATATTTATGTATGCATACTCAACAAATTATGAAAAAGTACTACTTATAAAACAAGTTATGTCTGTATTTAAATATGATTTCTAGAAAAGAAAACCTCCTGGCTATTGTAATACGACGACGTTTTATACACATGCGAGAGTTCTCTACAAGCACATTCGTATGAAATATTATTCAGTACGTACCTAGACGAACTTCCTATACATGTAAAATAGTATAGTATCTGAGATGCTGACAAAAAGATTCTCATGTGAAAACAATTAATATATCTACATATAATAGTATTGTGTGATGGCCTGTATTTTTTTTCAAAACTTTCGCGTTTGTCTGAAATCTGTACCCTCTCTATGCTATCGTGCATAAATATATACTTATCCTGAGAAATCATCATGTGCATACATAGTTGTTGAAATTTTTCTTTGTTCGGAAAGTAATCATATAACAACTTTTAATAGTCTTCTTGACGTCATTAGACTATCTTAAGTAACATCATAAGAATTCTTTATCAAGAAAAACAAATACTAAGATTGTTCTTATTTTCTTTTTTTTTTGCACATGAGACTAAAAAAAACAAGGAACTAACACTTGACATGTCATTTTCACTTGATATATTCTCTTTTATCTAATTTAAGAAAAACATATGTAATGAGGTATTAATGAATCTTTCGATTGACATGAATCGTTTTTTAGATATTTGTTTGACCCTGTCAATGAGGCGTGTCTTATCTTCAATATGTTTTATATATATATAAACATCAATAATAGCAAATAAAAGCAGATAAAAATATATTGAAAACAAATTGATATATATTAAAAATACCAATGTCATAACAACATGTGAAATTAATGATTTGGAAAAAAACGCTTGTTAGAAAAGATCTTCTGTGGTTTCAAATATGGAACTCATATATGTTGTTTAGCCTCATATTAAACTAATAAAAAATAGTTGAAGTGAAAAAACTCTTACAGACTATAGTTCTATTCGAAGATAATCGATCAGCAAAGTCATTTCACATTGTTATTCTTGTAAGCATTGAATAAAATGGAAAATTAGGTTGTTGTAAATATTCATTATATCTACAGCAACAGGTCTTAATACATTATTCAAGGATGTTTCACAATAACTGATATATATCAATAATCAAGATCTTTTATTTATGAAAATTTCAACCATCTAGCTTTAACTAATATTGATATACATAGACAAGATTGAAGTACATAGAAAGTGTCTCTTAATAATTCACGATAGATTTTTTATAGACATTTTTCATAATTTTTCTTGACGTAGAAAACTGAAATTTTTATCACATATATATCTTATCAAGATCTTTTATTTCTCAAAGTTTCAGCTTGCTAGATGGTGAAAAACATCGACAAAAACAAACAAAATACATTTTCATACTCGTTTTTAGCATTTTATTCTAACAGTAAAAATAATACAAAAATCGAGTAGAAAAATTTATGTATTTCAGTCTGCTCAGTGGTATTTCATCACTAGTTATAGCTAGACAACTGAAAATTTCAGCTCTGTCCATCACAAAAAGAAAAAGTATAAACATATCATTAATTAGTTTTTGTCAGCTATTATGAAATACCCTTTATGTATACATAAAAGTAGCTAGGAGAAACCCCACATATGACATAAGATAATATGGTAGAGAAAATCAAGTATAAAGCGTGAGAATATAAAAGAGAAAAAGTACTACTATATGTTTTATGACTTCGAGGGAATAAATCAACATATAATGTGTTGGCGTATATTGGACAAATCACTAACACTAGATGAATGAAGTCAATATCCAAGCAGGCAAAAATTTGGAAAAACGTGTTAAAACACACAAAGGGGAGCGGCGATTGTGAGCCATTCGTGCTACTTAGTAAAATGCCATATTTAGTATGAAATTATCACTTTTAGAGCGTTAAAACCGTCAAAAAGTCGTATTTTTAAAATTCTAAAACGAAATCGCGTTTAAACGCTAAAATCACGAGTTTTTGACGGTTTCAACGCTCTAACAGTGATAATTTCATGCTAAATATGGCGTTTTAATAAGTAGCGTGAATCGCTAACAATCGCGGTTCTCTTTAATGCGTTTAAACGCGTTTTTCCAAATTTTTTTCTCCTTGGATACAGTCACGCATAAATTAAGAGAAAAATAAGTAATCATTTTATTAGAAAAGACATCAATTTTTCAAGCTTATAATTCAAAGTAAAAATATGCATGTTGAATCTAAAACAATATAAATTTTTCTCAATGTAATTAAGTATTTTAGAGGCAACAAACAATGTTGCAATTTATTTTGATTTTATTGATTGGATTGTCAAATCTACCAAAGACTAGTAATGAAAATTATTCACGCAAATGATCTGTAATTTTTTTTATTTATTTATTTTTAATATTAATTGTGTAAGTTCATATGTGGCTCAATGGGATCAATGTGGTGGTATTTCCTATACAGGTTCAAAAGATTGTTGTGCACCATACGTATGTCAATATAGTAATCCGTCGTACTCACAATACTTGACAAGACAAACACAATTGACGACAACAACAATATCACCAAGGCTTCTCTACATGAACATGTTCGCGTGTAGAAAAAAAAGATATAGAAAGAGAAGGAAAGACGAATGACAATTGTCGCTGAGTACGTTTTTTTTAATTTTTGCAGGGAACTTGGGAGTAGCACTTTGGGAAAATTAGATCATCATGTTTAGCTTTTTGAGGTCTATTGAATAATGTATTTTTTTTCCTGAGTCAGCACGAAGTCAAATTTTTCGACTCGGTTGATATATTTGAATTATATTTGTTTTCAACTGGTCAATAGTTTTTTCTTCCCAACCATTAATGTATACTTTATCATCCAGAGTCGACCAAATTGTTTCAATAGGACTTGCCTAAGGACAGTTTGGAGGATTCTTTTCTTTTGGCACTGCATCAATGTGGTGTTCTTCTAAAAACTTAATTGCACTCGATGGATAATGGCTTGTTGCAAAATCCGACAAGAATAAAAGCTTGCCGGTTTTGTGATAGCTATTAATAAAAATTATTATACGCGATTAGTTGATACAATGTTCTTCCGTTCATTGCAAAATAATTTCGAAAAATTGCTAATTTCAATTTTTAGAACATCTCTGTTTTTACTTTCTTTTGATATTATCTGTCAAACAGTAAGACTTTTGCTAATAAACATATAAGAAAAACAAATTTGTGCTAAGACTTTCGCGCTGTAGGTTATATTCATTTTTTCTTTCAAGATTCTCTCAAGAGTCACTTTTCATCAGAATGGTCGAAATTAAGATAAATGCATAGGAAGATAGTTCATGATCTAGTCTTTCATAAACCACAAATATTTTTACTCGACATCTCGTTTTTTCCGAAAAGTTTTGAAGATTTCTCTCATCTCCTATTCGAAAAAATAAGCTGTTTTCAGAAAAAAAACAGAAAATCTTTTTCGTTTTTCTCCGTTGTTATTTTTGACACTTGTTTGGTCAGTATCTTCCTCAAACATCATAATATCGGATTGAAAACTTTATCATAGCTTCTCAACTACAGTCTCAACATATTGTGAAAATTTCAGGTCATTTAAACGTTCCTGAGGTAAGATTAATTATAGATATATATAGATATTTATTTATCCTGATAACTAATATGACGATGTCACAGAACAGAAAGAAAAACATAATAATAGATGTATTGTCACTATATAAGAAATAATGACACGTATGTCTCTGAAAACGATATTTATTGGATTGAGTTAATTTCTGATACATTGAGTATTTGCAGTAAGAACAGATGGACAAGGTACTTGTTTGAAACTGATCGTTGGATTATCAGCATTCATAAACCAATCAAATCGCCAATAACAACCTGCTTGAATAGCACGTGGTAAATTAGCACAATCTGATCTTTGACTAACACCACCATATCGTTGACCCCATGAATATGAACCAGGAAATTGTCTTGAACATCCATCAAATATACCAACACCACCACCAGGCATTTGAAGATCAAAATGATTATTACCAAGATCACCACCCGTATTTGTTACTTGAACTATTAATTTTTTACCAACAACAGGTCCTGATGTAAATATTAATGAATAACAAGCACAACACCAATCTGCTTCACTTTTACCCTAATATAAAATAATATTACATACATATATTTTTTTATTTCAAAATATGAACACGATGTTTTTGTTTTTCTTACAGCAATATGAGCAGCAGCATAACCATATGAAAGAGTTGAATTAACACTCCACGGTTGTTGATTATTACACATATAAGCAGAACCACCAGTACAGCCTGATTGAGTATTACGATCAACAGGTGTAATACCATTTTGTGCACATGTCCTAACTGGATTTGTTACAGAAGCTTTATATGACCATCCACAACTTGCTTTACAGCAATCCCAATAACGAGTAGTGACACCGGGTTGATGACCATCATTCGGAGATGATTTTGTTACTGTACTGACAGTACTACTTGAAGTGAATGAGGAACTAGATGATACTCCTGATTGTAAACATTGAGAATAATATGGATTACCAACAACACATGTTGATTGATCACAACATGTTGGACCAGTCCATCCAATACCACCACATTGTTGCCACAAAGCACTACAACCTTCTGTAAAGACAAACAAACAAAAAAACAATTAAGAAAAAAGAACAATCAATGGAAGAGTTTGCTCATATAAATATAACATAATTTATTTTCTCGATGAAATATAAACAATTTAATAAATTGTTTTTTTACTAAAATCTATCATTCTAACAAACATATCTAAACTAGCTGCTGTATAAATACGTTATATAATGATAAACTGTTTTTTGAATATCCTACATTTGATGAAGTCAATATCCATGACATGAACGAAACTTAATATACATACTTTTTACTGAAGTTCTAGATCTTGGTGATATTGTTGTTTTCCTCGATTGTGTTTGTCCTGTCAAGCATTGTGAATACCAAGGATTACTATATTGACATACATATGGTGCACAACAATCTTTTGAACCTGTATAGGAAATACCACCACATTGACCCCATTGAGCTACACATGAACCTACACAATTAATATTAAAAAAAATAAAGAAAGAAAATTCCAGATCATTTGCGTGAATAATTTTCATTACTAGTCTTTGGTAGATTTGACAATCCAATCAACAAAATCAAAATAAATTGCAACATTGTTTGTTGTCTCTAAAATACTTAATTACATTGAGAAAAATTTATATTGTTTTAGATTCAACATGCATATTTTTACTTTGAATTATGAGCTTGAAAAATTGATGTCTTTTCTAAAAAAATTATTGCTTATTTTTCTCTTAATTTATACCTGATTGTATTGCCTACGCCAAAACATCATATGTTAATTTATTCCCTTGAAGCATAAAACATATAGTAGTATTTTTTCTCTTTTATATTTCCACACGTTATCCTTGATTTTCCCAACCATATTATCTTTATGTCATATGTGGAATTTCTCCCAGCTATATTTATGTATACATAAAGAGTATTTCATAATAACTGACAAAGAATTATTAATGATATTTTTTATGTTTTTTTTTGTGTGATGGACAGAGCTGAAATTTTCAGAAATAAAAGATCTTGATAAGATATATATACGTGACAAAAATTTCAGCTCTATTCGTCAAAAAGAAAAAGTATAAAAAATATAATTCATCATCAGTTATTGTGAAACACTCTTTATATATCTTCATGATATTGACTATTTTTGAAAATTATAAATTTATCAATTCACGCTTTTTATGTTCGTCAAATGACAACTATGACATGCGAACAGGAGTTGGCAGTCACACTTATACAAAGTTTCATCAATATCTTATATACTCCGACGAAGTTCGTTATTTAAATCAGTGAAGATATCTCTTAAGCTCGACACCTCATAGTAAAAATTTCAGCTTGATGCATTAGGTCTACGAAGTTTTAGGTCATGACTATGAGTCAAAATTAAGGTTTTCGTAAGTTTCAACTTTTTGAGCCATTTGAAATGCTAGAAAGTTCGGGTTGGTTTTAAAAAGTAGCCAAGACGTGATCTATATTGATATATTCTTATGTCAAATCAATAATATTATTTGAATGAATAGGAGTTCAAACAGTGTCCTTTTCTGATGAACTATTCTTTATGTTATCAGTCAACAAATTTATTAAGTTTAATATTTATCTTAAAAAGATGATATTCAATATATACTCTCTCTCTCTCTTCTATGAACTAATGAATAGTTTTATCATGAATTGTATTTAAAGAATGATATTTATTCATAAAGTATATATTATGAATTAAAGTCTGCACGCAAATCTGTATACAAAATAAATCTATAAAAAAAAAAGAACAAAATCCATGTTCAATCGATTTTTTTTTTTTTTGGTAGTCGTTATTGATCAGGAATGATTCGAAATGTTCGTCGTCTATGTGATGAATGTTGTTCATCAGATGGTAGTTGATGTTGTAATTGAGATCGATTTGAATGAGTACGACATAATTGTTGACGTCGATGAATACCATGAGAATGTTCTTTTGAATGACGAACAACATTATGTATTGGTTTTTGTCGTGATACATGTCGATGAGATTGACCTGATAAATCCTAAAAAAAAAAAAAAAGAACAAACAATGAAAGATAATTATAATTAATGATATTTACATGATGAAATCTACGTCTACGTCGTAATCCATGATTTGATGATTTTGCCGTAGTTTCAATAAGAATTCTTGAACGAAGATGATGAAAATATTCTTGTAATTGTTGTTTTAATGATGAAACAAAATTTAATATACGATGTGTTGTTGAAACAATAATAGGTATTGTACAATGATGTTTTTGATATTGATAATTTATTGAATATGTATCATCATCATCAGAAAACGTAATTCTTTGATGAATAGGTAATTCATCATATTTTTCAAGTTCATTACGAATTTTTGATGTAACATATGAATGTTTTATTGTTTTAATATGTTGTTTTTTTTTATTTTCATCTATTAAAGAATTATTTTTTGTTTTAATTAAATTAAGTTTTTTATTTATTGCTCGAATATATGCTTCTCGAAGTGCTGTTATACGATTTGATACACGATTATCACCATGTGAACGTTCAATTATATCATGAATAAATTTAACATCGGTTTTATCTAAACCTAAAGCAATACTAGGAAAATGTCGATTTAATAATGAATGTTTAGAAGATATATCATGAGAAATTGTATCAGATATAATAGTTTTAGTAGCTGTTGCTAATGTTGAACATGATGATTTTGGACGACGTCGAAGAAAAAAATCTTCAAATGTATCATGTTGACAAAATTCTTCTTCATCTAAATTAGTTATATCATCTTGTTTATCTGATTGTTCATTTTCTAATATTGAATGTGTTTGTGGTATTAAATCATCTTCATTATAATTTTCTGTTGGATACCATGCAAAAATTTGGTCTTGTAATATTTTATGAAAATCTGTAGGATATTCACATAAATCTTTATCTTTATAAATATTATCTAATGATTGATTATCATTTAATATTGTTTGTTGAATTTCATTATATAATTGATTTGATACAGATTTTATTTGTAATGAATGTTTTAATTGTTTATCAGTTATTATTGGATGATGAAGTGGAATATTTAAATTTGAATTTCGTTTTGTTTTTTGTTGTTGTTGTTGTATTGTATGATAATTTTCATTAGTATAAATAGGTTGTACATTATTATGTTGATGATGATGATGTTTCGAATGATATAATTTTTGTTGTTGATGAAATGATGAAGGCATCTTTGTACGATATAAAACACGTTTATCACAACAACTTGGGGCCAAATTGACTTCAAGTTTTTTAACAATCTAAATATGTTGAATAGATTAACATTCTTTATATATTGTATTAAAATGTCGTGTATTCTCTTTTCGTTTTCTCCTCTTTTTCTATTGAATTTCTTTTATCAAGGTAATTAAAGCTCACTTTTGTAGTATTAGGATTTGAATTTGTTTCAATGTCACTATCTTCATTTTCTATTGAATATATTGATGAATAATCATTTTTTTTTAATAATATTTTATCTATTGGAATAATTGATTGTTGTTGTAAATTCATATAGTTATGTGAAGATGAATATGGATTAATATTATCTATTGATGATTTTTGATGTAATAATAATTTATTATATTTGAAAGGAATTTTAGATGATAATTGTTTTGGACATAATTTAAGATTTTGATAAATTTGATTATTTTTATCTAATATTTGTGATTCGATTTCTATATCTGTATTAGATAGACTTGTCATTGATGTTAAATTTTTTAATATTGTTTCATTTGATATATATGTTGATTTAACTTGTGATTTAGAAATATTAGCATAAGTATTATTTCGAAAATAATATGAAGTTTGTGTTGAATAATTAATATTATTATGATTTTGAATAGAAGTATACGGGTGTGTATTAATCATAGACATTTTTGATGATGATGATGATAATGAAGAAGGACATTGATAATTTTTATGATACGAAATTGAAGTATTTGCATAGGATGGTATGTCAGTATTTAATGAAAATGGCAAGAAATTTTTAGAATTATCGATTTCTTTGGAATAATATTTTAAACCCATACGTGTTTTTTTTTGTTGTTTCGTTTATTGATAATGTGTATGATGTTTTAGTGAATATAAATAAGATACTGATTCTTGTCTTGTTTTTTTTATATGTATGTTAGTATAGTCTACATTTGTTTTAAGTCAAATTAGTAAATATGTTCTCCGTTTATCGTTTGTTGATTGTCATTAGAAACGAATGAACAAATCTATAATATTGTTGACATAGTGAAAGATAGATATAAAGTAGACTTTATACTATTCTAATCTCATACTGATGACAAAAAAAACAAAATTTGAAGATTTAATTTGAGCTTTTTTTTCTATCTTCTGTATATTGTCGATTAAAAAATCATGAATATCTCAAAAATAAAATCATAGATAAATATGATTGACATTTAATATCATTATTTTTAATTATAATTAGTTTATGTCGTAGTAGAAAAATAATTATATAGAGTAATTTCCAAAAATATTCAAATGTATTTATCTTCTACTTTTTTTTTTGTTACTAATAAAAATTTTGAAATAAATATTTACATCGAAAATTTTATTTTCAAGATAAGATCTCTGAAAAAAAAAATCCGAAATTTAAGTTTTTTCAGCTTCTAAGATTCACAAATAATGATATTCATTATTTTCAAACAATTTCACTTGATTAATTCATGCTCTCTATATGAATCATATGATAACTATGGCAAATCCCTACTTATCATGATTGACATATTGAAGATAAATTTTTATCATCGTTAATGTCGTTCACTATGTTTTTTTTGTTGATAAGAAATTTTGAGAAAGGAATCTAATACCGATCGCTCGAGACTGTTTAAGCTTGAAAAGTTTTTTCAATATTCGAAATTTTTCTTATAAAGTTTTACGATATTGTTTCATTTATGTGTTCTATTTAATCATAACTGAATGAACTAAAGATAAATAGTGTAGGATGACATCTGTAAGTTTTTTTTGTTTTTTATCAAACTTGAGACCACGTGAATAACTCGTTAGATTTGTTTTGTATACTTATCTTTTATATAGAAAGTATCATAAGAGATAATTATTTTCAACTATGAAGATTTTTTTTTTTTTTTTGACAAATAAAATATTAGTTTAAACAGATTTTGAATATCATTTTTTTTCGTACGATTATTCATATTCAAAATTTGATTAGAATCTTTTATATAAGATTATTTAAATATTCTTATGGTATTTACTTCAATTATTATAACATTTTAAGTTCTTCATATGTGTTATTCATTGTTTTAGTTTTATTTATATTTATTAAAGTTATCAGTATATTATAAGATCTTGGCGCAGGAAGAATATCCTGGTAAACATTATCTTTTAGTATAAGAATACTTAAAAAAGAACAATCGGAAATTGTTTTCCTAGAATTCTCTCGAATCTTTATATTATCTATATTATGACAGTATGATGTCTTTTTTTTATAAAATAACCTTCTTAACATCAAACAGTTTGTCAGCAGATTGTTTTTCTATCAGAAAATCTATTGTACTATCTCTATTGACATCCTTTTCTATATCGAACTTCCTTAACATGAATCGATCCATCAACAACTACGTTCTAAAAATAACAAGATTGATGTATATTGATAATCATTGTTATAAAATTTTTATAATTGACTAAGAATATCAAATGACGTAGTGATTAGAGTAATGTTCAATTTTTTTTCTTTTTTGTATTACTTGAGACTTTCTTTGGATTAATATGTCATAAAAGCATTTGTATTACAATCTCTATTATTCATCCGTTTCCATAATATTAAATGACTAAATTCTATCGGATCTATTTCCGAATATATTTATAGTAGTCGCAAGATGTCCTATTACCTAGTAAAAAAGTATATAAAATTCAATCCTTTTGTCTCATATTTAGACTAAAAATAGAGTTTGATAAACTCTAATTGTAAGCAGCAACCCGAGATCAATAACATTATCTGAGATAGTCTTGACATTGATTTTCTTCTTATTTAATAACTATAATGATGAAAATTTTCAAGACAAATAGTTAAAACTAATTAGAGATATGAAAAATTTCATTAACTTTCATGTGATGATTACCCAAAGGTTATTTTGCGTCAAATCAGAAAAATTATAATCATTTGACATGAAACTCTGATTAATGATAGAAATAACATTGAGTTGTTGAATGAAGGGTCTAATGTCATGAAATTTGTTTTCTCTATTGAGATATTCTCGTGTGAAGAAAATAAAAAATTATATTAACCTTCTAACACATCCTCATTAACAGCAATCAAGTTCTATGAGAGCAAAGAGTTTAACATGCTCTATTTTTGATCAAAATATGAAATTAAAGAATAAAAATCTAGCAAGATTAATATGTATATATATATGTCAAAAATTCTAAAAAAAAAAATGAAATAAAATAGATGAATTTGATTTTTTTTTATTCTTAATTTAATATAGTCATCATTGTTATTATATATCGTTTATTTTTCAGTATTATAATCAAAATGTTTTCTTTTTTATTAATTATTTTTATTCAAATAATTATTTGTTATTCGAATTGTGTTTATAATATTGAAAATGGATTAAAATTAGATATTCGAACATTAGGTTATACAAATGGAAAAATACCAAAATATGATCAAATATCTAATATAAATCCAACAAGAAAAACATTTAGTTGGAATGGATGTTTTTCATATTCAAAATTTGATAATGGTAATTGTACAAATGCTGCAGCATGTTATAGTAAATGATAATATTATCTTTATCTTATATTATTGTTTTGTTTTTTTTTTTTTGTCTTATCATAGCTGATTCAATATCAAATATATCAATAATTATTGCTAAACAAGATTCTGTTCAATTTAAATATAATTATGGTTCATCAATACTTTCATATCAATATTCAAATATACATTTAACTGTATTTTTAATATGTCGTGTTGATGGTGAAGATACAACAATTGCTTATCAAGATGATTCAACAACATATAGTATTTATATACAATCTCAATGTTGTTGTCCAGGCGTATGTTCTTATTCAATTCAATCAATTAGTCCTATAATTATACTTATTATTATAATAATTATTTTTCTTTTCGGATATATTATTGGTAGTATAATTTTTTTAAAATATAATCATCAATCAACAAAATCCAATCAATTTCTATGTTTAAATCCTCGATCATATATACGAAATCGAACATTTCATAATGATTATCAGAACATATAAGAAAAAAAAAAAAATTGTTTTTTCGTTTTTTGTTTTTTTTTTTTACCATAATCAATGATCTCTTCAAAATCCTAAATAAGATTAGTAGAAGAGAAAAAAAAAAGATTTACATGAGTGATGAACGTCTACACAAAAACTAGTGTTAACATTAGACATCACCATACGAATAATTGACGAACGATGTTGTTTCCGATTCAAACGAGTACTAATCACAACCACATTTACATATAAAGTAAATTCTCTCTTATATTAGACAAATAGTTTGTCATGATAATAACAAATAAAATTAGGTATGTAGAAATAATTTCATTTTGTCTTGATTAGAATTATAAACAATAACTTAAATTTAATAATAATGAATCAAAAAGCAAAAAAAGAAAACCAACAACATATTTTGATTGCATGTCAATTTATTTCTGCTAGATGAACGTTCATCTTATGTTAGAAATCAATTCTTAATAATAAAGTTCTTTCATGTTATGAAAGAAGAAAATAAATGGTATTAATCTTTTTTTTTTCCTAAATTATCTTTTTCTTTTTTTTTTTTTTTCTCTCATATTCTTATTGATGCACACACACACATATTTTCAGATATTATTAATATAGAAAAACAAAAAAAAAAACAGTCGCATGTTGTCATTCATATTCAATAAAACTTGGTCAAATTCTAGTCATGAAAAAATGATTAACATTGATGTTATTACTAAGCATATATCATCATTTACTACAATTCAACGAATTATTTTTATTTTTTCAATTGTAAGTAAAATAAAACACACACACAAAAAAAAACAATATTATCTCAACAAAATGAAAATTACATTCACTAATAATAGATCTTGTTAATGTCCATTGCTACGTCAAACCTAAATCGAATAAGCATTTGTCATGCAATATTCTCATTCAAGTCTGTTAAACAATTTTTTATGGGTCATTGAGAAACATAAAAAAAAAAAAAAATTGTGTCAAATGTTTTTATCACCTTTCATTTCCTTATCATTAATAGTACTTATTTAATTATATTTCAACATTAAAAAAAAATCTACTTTAACATTCGTCTTTGTTTAACACCGGAAAAATTACAGATAGACATGTATAAAAAGAAAAACGTTACCCTGAGGCATTAATTCTTTTTTTCTCTTGTCTCGAAGGACAAACAAATCTTAAATATTTCTTTTGATTAAAGTTATTTGTTTTGTTTTTTTTAATACATTAATCTTTTTTTATAGGTTATTATCTTCTGGATATTATTCATAATAATTTATCTAATAAATCGTCTTATTATTCGATTTATAAAAAATATAAAATATTTTCATCATAATTTATCATTTATATCAAATGATAAAGTTTGTAATCAAATATTTTTTATATCATCAAATCAATATGGATCTATAAAACCACCAATACAAACATTTAATTATTCTAATAATTTATTTTCAAATAATAAAAAAATAAATTTAACTATAAATCCTTATTCAAATATAATTGATAATTCTTTTCAATTTCAACAATCAAAATCACATCTATTAAAATATTATTTAAAAACTTATAATCCATTACAGATTAATTTAATTGATAATCATGAACAAATTATTATAAGAAAAAAAAATATCAAGGATATTTCTTATGATGAAATATCAAATTTAACAAATAGACAAATAATAGATAATTGTTTTTCAATCAATTGTACAAATAAACAAAAGATACATGATAGTAAACGATATATACGTCTTAAAGAACAAGAAAATTGTTCTGCTACAATAAGTATTATTGATGAACGTTCATTACAATATAATACAAAATTAACAAATACTATATTACCAGTTGTAATGATTACGGATTGTTCGAATAGTCAACGATTACACACAGACATTATTGAAATGAATGAAAATGAATAAATAGAAATAAAAAAAAGAAAAAAAAACAAAAGAAAATGTAAAGTATTTTTTTTATTCATTGATTCTATTGAAAAGCAAAGTATAATGTCAAATAAAATCATCGATATCTTCTGATGCACTTATGATAAGAGAATCATTTGCATGGAAGAATATTTCATTCTCATAGATGGTTTATTATAACACAATACAAGGCTAAGGTAATTTACATTTGAATGATAAATTGTATTCATTCATTTTTTTGCTTTCTCTGTCTCTCTCTCTCTCTCTCTCTCTCTCTCTCTTTTTCTATCGATTATACTAGTAATGTTGTCGGTTTGATGATGGTTTTAAAAAAAGAGACAGGTATAGTATTGTTTTTCTTTTTTTTAGTAATTATACTTGATTATATTCTAAATATTATTCTTTTTCTCTCTGTGTTCGTAACCGACGAGTGTTGTCTCCGACGTCACTGAACACGAAGCGATCGATTTCTTTTCTCCCTCTCCCTCTCTCTCTCTTGTCTCACCCTAATTTTGGGTTACACTATTTCTCGCGCTCGTCGTTTGACTAGATTATATATATATATCTGCGTTTCAAACATGAGCACGAATGAGTTTGTCTTCTTCTTCTTCTTATTCTTCTTCTCATGCATTCAACAATATATATATATACACATATATATATTCTAACGAGACGAGCAGACGATTGTGTGAGAATAAACTGACGAGACTGGTCAGTGAACACGACCCACATCTCTTTACTCTATCGGCATTTGTCTTTTTCTTTCCCTCATTTTCTCTCTTCGTTGTATTGTTCTATAATTGAACACATCGACCTTCTGTCCGTTGTGTATAAACGTACTCACGTTCATATATACGAAAGAAAAAGGAAAAACGAGAGAGAGAGAAAAACTTCCGCTTCAATATACTTTCAAACGATACAATAATATGAATACTGTTACTTTACGCATATTTATTTGTTTATTCATATCATTGTGAACATTAATAACATTTACAAAAGGTGATTTTATTTTTCATCATTCATTAATTATTTATTGTATTCAATATATATGTGAATACAAAACATTATTCTTTATATATTACATATATATATATATCTATTTTTTTCTTTGTATTATGATTCGTTTTGAAGAAAAACTTTATTTACAAAATGTATTTAATTCTATTGAACAAATATATAAAATGAAAAAAACTCAACAAATATCATCATATGAAGAACGTTTACGTGCATCATTTAATAAATTAATTATACCTGATTGGTATAATCATGAATATACATCACCAAATGGTTTACGAAAAACAAAATCTCATGGACATGTACCACGTATTAAACGATCAAATCATCATAATAACAATAATAATAATAATAATACTTATATTAATGATGATACACCTGATATATCAACATCTTCATCAATTAATTCACCTTATTTATCTAATGGTACATATAGACAATCATATAATCATCGATCACCAAGTCGTTCATGGTCAGAAAAACCACCATTAAGACGTGATTCAACAACATCAAGTTATGATACAAATACAAGTATAACATATGGACGACGTTTTACAACATCGAGTAGTTCATCATCATATGCACCGGGTTTACAACGTGTTGCACAATCATCAACATGGTATAAACCACGAACATTTATTACAACAAAAAATATTAATAGTAATACAAATGGACATATTATTGAACCACCTAAACCTTTACCAAGATATTCAAAAATTGGTAAATATGATTTAATTATTGATAAGTTATATCTTAATGTAAGAATCATGTTGATTATGTCAACTTTCATTTTTTTTTTGTTACCACCATCGTTTATCGCAATTATGTAATCATATAGATTAGATATAGTTTACATTGATATAACATTCTTGTTAGCCTTCTGATTTCTTACAGTATACAAAATTTTGAAATTTATCGTTAATATCAATGTAAATCTACTACTAGTTTTCTGAGTATATCACATTGTAGATACATTTGTTAGACAGTTGTGTCTTATCTGTTTATAGTAGATCAAGAAAAGAAACAAAAAAAGAATATACATGATTGACATATGTAAGACATGTCATTTATACGTATATATTTATGATAGTATAGTAATATTTATCAGTCATATATATATATATAAATAGTTACTCATCAATCTCTTATTCTGTTTTTTTGTGCTTGATAAATTCTAAATTTATTATATTATATATCATGTCTATTGGAGCGATAATTGATTGGTTTTTTTCTTTCTTTCATACACACGTCAACGTGTGTGTATTATAGATGTGTTTGCTGATGCATGTTATAAGAACAAATATAATATTAATAATTATGAGCGAATATATTGTTAATGAGTTCATTTTTAGAAATGAATATCTTCATTGGTATGATTAATTATGAAAAAAAGAAAAAATGAATATATAATTATTATTTTGACTTGTTAAAAGTAGACAAGACCAAAAAAGAAAAAAAAACAAAATATATCGTATGTTAATTTGATTCTTATTAACAGAAATATATGCGTTTTTTTTATTATTGTTATACGAAAAAAAAAAAATAGGTAGTAGCAAGAAAAGATCTGTAATGTATTCACTGTTGACGCTATTGGCTTCGGATGCTATTCAAATCATAACTATATAACTACAGTAGTCGTCTTGTCGGCCGTTTTTCGTTACCTCGAATAGTAACAGAACGATACCCTTCATATTATGCCATAACGTACGACGAGTTTTTGATATACATATATATTTTTAAAGAAAATATGTATGCTCACAAACAACAGAATAGCATAGTGTCAATGACAAAAAAGAAAAAATGTCAACAGAGACGAACGTGTGGTGTAGATGTCTGTATATATATTTTTTCGAGTAACTTATACTCTAGAAAAAAAGAAGAAGAAAGACAGCAGGACGAGTAAAAAAAAGAAAAAAAGTTGTTCTTTTTCTTTCACTCTATTAAAAAAAATCATCAAATTACTATTTCTAGGTTTTTATTAAAGAAGACATATGTAATATAGGATGGACAAGTGCTAGAGAAAATGAACAAAAAAAAAAAAGAAGTAGATGGGATTCTGATGATTTGTTTGACGAATCACTATTTTCTTTCTTTTTTTTTATATTCCTTCGTTTTTCTTTTTTTTTTTGATTTAACAACGAATCACACATATATATATCCATTCATCCACCTGTCGACATTCTCGTTTTTCATTCTCATCTTTATGTGATCAAGTTAAAAGAGAAAAAAAAATTAACCTTGACTTTGTATTCATAACTGAATCACATTTTTTCTTGTTCTTCTTCCGTTTATTTTCGTTTTTTTTTTTGTACTTAGTTTTATGACGTTTCTTTCTTTATGTATAAGAATACGATTATTTTATTTGTACATGTTATCTTTAATGACTTTCAAATCAATATATGTATGCATCATCAATCGATTCATATCTCCCTTTTGGCCCAAAAGTGAGAGAGTAAAAAAAAAAGAAGAAGAAGAAGAGAAAGAAATTGATTGCATATATGTGCATTTGTACACACGAGAATTTGCATTTGAAGTTTCTTTTTTTTTTTTTTGATTACAACCGTGCATACGTGCCTCAAGCATTCTCAATAGGCAATGATAGTAATACTATTTGAATGACCGCCTTCTTTTTTCATGTGTTATCTATATCGATTAATGTAATTTCCTTTTTTTTTATTTTTGTTTTGATTATGCTATTTTAAGATCCTGGACGTACAATAAATTCTTCATCTTTATTAACAAATATTGATAATGTTCATCATCCTATAAAACCACGTACTATGGCTCAAGCACAAATACCATATGAAGAATCTTTTCTTGATGCATCATCAGAAGGTGATATGACAATTGTACAAAAGTGTAAGAAGAAAAAAAATCTTTTAATTTAAAAGTTTTATTTTTGCTTTTTGTAGCATTAATACAAGAAATAATAGAACAACCTATTATAAGTAATAATGAAATAATAACAACAACAAATATTCCTCGTACAAATTCATCAAAAAGTCTTACATCAGAAACTGAATCATATCGTTCAGCTAATTTACATTCAATAGATAAAAATCTTTTAGTATCAGATTCTTCATCATATGCAAGTGTCAATGATCGATGTTTATCACCATTATCAACAGCTTCATATCATACAGCAAGAGCAGGTGATACAACATCATCATCATCATCATCATCAATAGGTGGATATGAAACACCAACACCAAAATTAGATGATAATGCAACATTATCAACACATAGTTCACTTTCAGATTTAAGTCATGCTGAAACCTTAGAACCAAGTGCTGAAGGTAATTATAATTGAAAAAAATTTCTTTGTTTTTATTCGTTAGAATAATAAAAAAAGTAGAAATAATGTGTAGACATTTTCTTTTGATTGAATTTAAGTAAAAAAAACACTTTGTATATACATATATAATCAAAACATTCGAAAAATGTAAAAGAGGTTAGTCAAAAATTTTTCAAGTGGATGATTTTAAATGTAAATAGACGAGTTATATTTACCATTGAGAAAATGTAAATGTAACAAGACAAAAGCAAAAAAAAAAATATTTTTGGTATTTTTACTACATGAGTTCATACATAAACAAACTTAATATCAAGGTAATTATATGTTAGAAGAACTGTTTTTTTTTGTCGTGTTATGATTGACATACTAGGAATCTAAGACATATTAACTGTCCATTGAGTTTTTCTTTATCATTAATGATTGAAAGATAAAAGTGCATACTAGTTTTTCTATTCTCTTGAGATATTCATCATGAAAGAACTGCCTCCTACAATTACTTCATGTAACTCATTTTCCGGTGATTAAAAACTTAATACATACATTTATATACATACAAATATAATCGTATACACATACACATGTCATTTCTTTCTATCTTTTTACTACTACTTCATAGACAAGAATTGTTGTTATTATGAGAGAATGAATATCCACTCTCACTATGAGGAAGAAATAGAAAAAAAAAAAACAG